GAAAGCTGCATGAGGGAAAACAGAAAGCAGGCATGTGTCTGTGAGGAGGCTACTCCTTCCTAGAAGCTAAGCCTGCTCCGGACATCTCCATTCTATCAGAACAAGGCTTTCCTTGCTGCTCCAGACACCCAGCAACCCTTGCATTTTGCAGAGAGGTCACTGAACTTTGGGTAAATCTAAAGTCCTAAATGTTATATATGTTCATGTCCCCACCCCTCCCTGCCACTCCTCACCCAAACAGGAATCCTTCTAGTTCTAGGAAAAGAATGTCTTATCCTGTCTCTGGCTAGCTCTGTAGAAGGGAGAGAAGCCCCACCTACACACTGCTGCCTCCCTCAGCCCCCACCTCCCCACCTTCCACTTCCTGGCAGTTCAAGCCTGAACACCATCACCACACCACACCCCCACACCCCGCCCCAGTGATTACTTTGACTCTGCTGTATTAAGCTCTTGCAAACCCCAAGCATCAACACTCCCTTGGCCATAGTGAATACCAAGAATAAAACAGATTAAAACCATATTTCTAATGGTTAATTTTCATTTGTTTTTAAATTAAAATGAGGTCATGATTAAACCAACAGAAAACATTCAGGCCTTTGCCAAGAGTCAGCAAGCTACCTTGACTGACTCCCACTGCAGCATCAGCCCTGGGCTGACCTGAAGGAATGACGCCAGTGCTGGGGGGTCTGATGAGTACCCAGATGTCAGGCCTGGCTGGAAGGGTCCTGCCCCAGCTCTCATGTGCAATCCGATAGCTGCTGCGTGTGTATTGGCCCCAGATTCCTGGACACCAAGGAGCCATTACTATTCTAGGGTCTTTGTAATGGGACAATAGTGATTCTGCCTTGTAAGTTCCCTTCTGAGAGCTAGTATACCCAACACTAAGTCACCTTGGCCCAGAAGACTGGGAAAATGGGGAGATGAAGGAAAACTCTTCTCCTGCCTCAGGGGACCACATTTGGTCCAGCACCAGGGTGTGTCCTGGCTCCCATCTAGTTTCCATTCATCTTCTCGCCAGCCCTCTCTTCCTCCAGGATTTCCTCACAATGTCTGTATGTTCATCTGGTGTCCAACCAGAACAAGCTCAATGAGACATAAACACCAAGTTTGTACTCACAAGAGGATTGGCTTGAGGAAGCCCCACAAATGCTTTGGATTATGTTCTCATTAAAGTGAGAGAGGCTAAAGTGGCAAGCTGCCGAAGTGTTCCGGATATAGGCCAATCAGAGTCCCTAAGGGCAGGACTCTACACTGGACAGCAGGAAGTCAGGGGACTAGGAAGAGGAGAAACTCTCTCTGGGGACTGGGGAGGGCTATGAGTTACAGAGCTGAGATGTCACCATGGGGAAGAGAGCCAACACTCAGGTCTAGAGAGAACTGTTACTTCCCCTCTGTAGACCACTCCTTGCAGTACAGGAAAGTGGTGGTCCTTATTAATTCCCATTTTGCTAATGGCAGGCAATTTAAGGGCTCTCACTAGGGGAGCAAGGGCGTGACAAAGCTGCTCTGGGAGGGGTGTTTGTTGAAGGCTGGTGTCAGCCAGGCTTCATTTAAATCATCCCAGATTCCTTGCAAAGGCTATAAACAGTGGAGTGATGAAATTGCCTCTGGAGCCAGAACAGGGAGGAGGCCCTGTCACGAAGGAGGGCCAAGAAGCACCACTAAGGAGTGGGGAGAAATGAGGGGCATGGACAGGAAGGAAGGGGAATCTGTCTCTGAGGGGCTCAACGGGAAGATCTGAGAAGCCTCCAGAGTGCAGTATTCTAAAGAGCTCGGCTGAGCTGCACCGCCCTCGCTAGCTGTTAAGGTTCTAGTTAGACAAGCACAGAATGGCCCAAAGAATTCTAGTCCACCTAGCCCAAAGCTTTTGGGAAAGAAATCATTGCCCTGTAAACTGTAAGCTGCCAGGGCAAAGCAATCCTTGTAAACTGCTGATTGCTGAAGGGATCACAGCCTGAGCTGCAAAGCAAGGCTGAAAAGGTTGGTTTCCCCCGATGGTAAAAAGATGTGTGGTACCCCATACACCATGTTTCCTGTCCCCTTCTCCCTCTCCCAACCTGCCATTCTTTACAGTGTTTACCAGCAGCCATAAACACACACACACACTCCCTCACCCATTTATCAAATCCAGAGACTAATTTCTCACACCATATCCTTCTCAAGCTATTTGTCAGGATTAGGGCAGTGGAGTAGGAGTGCTTTTAAGCCTCAAAACTTTCATCTTCAGCCTCCCTCAACTCAGCATTCCTCAGGAGGTGGGACTCTGAGTCCTGGGATCTGGAGATCCTTAGATCTCAGATGTCTGCAGGTATAACTGTAGAATCACTTGCAAAAGCAAAATGAAAAATTGTTCTGCGGTTTCAAAGCTGAGTTTGCTGCACCTTTCTGTGAACCAACATGCTCCCCTTAGAACTCAAGCCCTGGGCATGAGAGTTGGCTGCTGAGTTCCACAGGGGTGAATCCACGACCCTGGAGAACATGCATCAAGGGGCTTCCTCCAACGTCACCTGAACTGTGACAGAGCTGGGAGCTAAGCAGAGGGGGCTTATGGCAGTGATGGGACCTTCCTCGGTTCCTTCCCATGAGTCCTCTCAAGGTTGCCTCTATTTCTCAAGTGTTCTTGCCTACTGTTTTGGTTTCTTGTGTTTATAAAACACAAGAGAGCTATTAATCATTGTCACAGCCCTCAAAGTTCTCTGCCTGCTCAGTGACATACCTGTCCCTTCTCATTTCTACCCTCTGATCTTGTAGTTGCAGGAGCAATACTCAGAACTCTGCAGAACTTTAGCTCCTCACTCCCAGTTATAAGATTTTTGAATCCAGATCTTGGCTTCTCCACTTGTATTGTGTGTACCGTTGGTAACATTCTTAATGTCTTTGGCTCTCAGTCTTTTTCACCATAAAACTGATACTTTAGGCTGTAAAATTTATAGGACTGTCATGATGATTGCCTTGAGGCCAGACCCCACACTTTGCCACATTTCAAAAATGAAACATAAGGAAAACAAACTAGGAGTGGCTGTTTCCATCATAGTTGGGAGTTTTAAACTTTAGGTAAGAGGTAAACGACAAATGCATTACCAAATGCATTGCTGAAGTTGAAAGAAAACAGAAGTCTCCAAGGATTAATCAAAACAAGCCCCAAAAGAAGATGAATTCTTGGAAGAGAAACAAGAGGAGGAGGATAGGGGAAAGGGAAATGGGGGGTGGGGCCTGACATTTAATCTAGGAGCTCAACCCTGAGGGGAACAAATATAGGGTTGATGAGAACATGTGACCATGAAACCTACAAGGGGTAGCTGAGTCCCTGCTCCCACAGCAAAGCCTGAACCCCACTTGTATCGCAGCTGGTTCCTCTAAAAATGGGGAAGGAGAGACCCAGGGAACTAAGGAAAAGGGTCCATTTGGCTGAGAACTGACCAGAGAACCCAGCATCTCCAGACTCCAGAGGTACAATGTCCTTCCACCACAAGCCTTTCACCAACAATTTTTCCAATGTACAAGATAAAAATATGGAGGCAATGGGAGTTAAATTCATAAATATGTATGTTTTTATTATGAGACTCATTGGGGTATATGCTATGTAGTTAGAAGTACAATTTTTATACCCTTCTTTGATAGAAACTTATCATTAAAATATCTTTATAGTCCAATCCAGTAAATTCACTTGCAGGAATTGTATAAAGTCATTTTATGTATAGAAAGGGGGGGACTTTTTTAAATTAATTACTTGAGCTGTAGCTTCAGATGCCATGGAAATGGTATATATGGTTTGGGGCTGGAGCGATGGCTTAGCAGTTAAGAGCACTTGCTACTCTTCCAGAGGATTGGAGTTAATTCTCAACCCTCTTGTCAGATGGCTCACACTGGCTACAACTCCAGCTCCAGGGGAATCCTATGCCTCCTTTTGGCCTCTGCAGGAATTGCACTTACATGCACATACTACACACAGGCACACACACATACACATAATGAAAAATAAAATATTTTTGTGGCATATATGGCTATTGTTAAGACACATAAGCAGAACTTTCTTTTGAGAAGCCCACAGTCACACTTGGATACATTCAGTTCTTCATGTTAAAATCACATCTTAATGAATTTTAACTCTTCATTTAAAAAATGCTAGTCATGACATGTCTGTGCATACACATACACATCTTCAGACTAAATGAATAAAATAATTTACATTTAAATATTTAAATAAATAAAACTATTTTTAAAGGGGGGGTGCCAAAGATGCCTTTTCTAAGTAATTTAGGTTCCATCTGTGGCTTTTATCCCCATTTCCCAAGTCCAAGTTGGCCCCACAGCTTGGTCTGCCTCATATTAAAGCTCCTTCCTCATCATTATTTTCCTAGGGAAAGGAGATGGGAGGGGAAGGAGAATAGTTTACTCAATAGTGAGATGCATCATTTAGGTCTTACTTAGGAGTCACCTGGCCCAGGACCCTTTCTCCTCCGTGATCCCTTTATCCCTCCGTGATACCCACCTTAGTGGGTATCCAGTGAAGTACACACATGAGGCAGAATACACTCATCACCTGTCTGCCCATCTCTCGAGTCCTGCTTCCTCCTTTCTAACTGGGTGAACACAGTCTTGGAGCTTATGCAGGGCCAGATTCAGATTTGTGCCTGCAGCAGGGAAATTCTGCTTCCGTTTCATGTGCTGGACCAATCAGCACACTCTTATATCTCTTTGTTCCACCCCCAGAGGTCTGAGAGAGATACAGACTAGGTGGGCCTGTGTGTCTTCCTAGATTGTGGAAAATGGGCACAACTCTTTACAGATAGGTAGGATATCTTGGCAACTTGGCCTACATCTTACCTTTGCCTCCATTTCTCAGCTTACATAAGGTCACCTGGGGCTCAGGTGGACTGAATTGGACCTAGGGATTGGGTGGGTATGAGATATGAGCCTTGATGCCATATGGGAAATTGGAGAGGGGAGGGAGCATCTTGGGGTTGAGGTAGAGTCTGACCCAACTGGTTCCATTGCAGTGAGATCAGCTGGCAGTGACAGGGATGTACTGTGCATTACTGAAGAGGAGCTGGCTGGTGAAGACGAGGAAATGCCATCCTTCCCATGCACCCAAGAAGGTAAGTACTCAGGGAGCCCCTATGTCCTCTGTGAGATAAGAGTTCCATGCCTTCATCTTCAGACTGGAGAGCAACGTGTCCAAATATGTGGCTTCAGAAATCTCACTCTCATTTTCCTGCTGCCCCTTGGAGAGTAAAGGGCAGAGCTGTGTAGCCTGGGACTGTGCAGGATGGACAAAGCCAGCATTTGGCATGTGTCGTATGCTTCCAGGGCTCCACATGAATCCTTATAGGAACTCCTACCATTTCCCCTAGCCAGACACTGTGCCTAAAGTCTCTCTTCTGCTTTGTTGCTCATGTTGAGTTGCTGGTTGGACTAGGGCCCTCCGTGGCATTTGGTATAGATTACACCTGTGTTCTTTCCTTGACTGGACACTGTATTTACCATTGATGCCCCAGGGCTGCCCTCAGAATTTTGAATTTTTTCTAGTGTGCCATGTGGTCCAGGCACTAAGTTGGTAATCACTTGTGGTAATCATCATTTGCAGCTAGGCTGAGCTCATCTTGGGGCCATCCTATATTCTCAGCAGGCACTGGTCACCTCCCAGAGTTCCCAGGAACACCTGCTCCCTCTTCCCTCTGTGCAGCAACCCGACTAGTGGACTTTAAGTCCTTCTTTGGTTTCCAAGGCAACCGCAGCTTATTTGTCCAGTTTGAAAACTGGTGACCAACGTAACACGGAAACTCTCTGTAAAGCATCAGGATTTGCTCATTCTGAAGAATTCTTATGGCAGGAGAGTCTCAGTGCTATAACTCAGAAAGTCATGGGCAAACTGGGTTATGTTGAGCACACAATAGAGCATAGATAGCACTGGGCAGGGAGGCGAGCAGGCTGCTGGCATCAATGGGTCATCGGTAGGACCAGTGTAGCTCACTCTGTGGGCTGAATGAAGATACTGCCAAGAAAGAATGACAGATAAGGCGGGGTGGGGTAGTCTCTGACTCCTCTATTTCAGAAAGTTCTAGAAAGTCATTCTAGGTGGGAGCAAGTAAGGGATAGAAGTGGAAAACTCCAGTTGGGAGCCTGGCTTGAAAAGTAATGAGGCAGGCCAGAACAGGAACATGGAACTGAGCATGCCACTCCAGCCTTCGCCACTGACCCAAGCCACTGCCATCTCCTTGTCCTCTGAAGGTCGGTCGGGACCCCGCTGCAGCCGCTGTCAAAAGAACCTGTCTTTGCACACGTCGGTGAGGATTCTGTACCTCTTCCTGGCTCTGCTCCTTGTGGCCGTGGCTGTGCTGGCCTCTCTGGGTGAGTTCAGAACTCCTTGACTCTAGTTATAGGGGAGTGGCTGATTAGGTGTCTACACCAAAAATACCCCTGCATAGACAAGCACTCCACATCTGTCACCTGTCACCCAGACAGGCATCATCCTGGTTCGGACATCATTGTGGCTAATCCACTAGGAGATTAGACTTACTTCTAATCTCTGGTTAAGAGTTAGCTGTAAGATTTTGAGTAGAAGAAAATAACCAGACAAGTTAGACAGGTCTGTGTTGGAATCATGTGGGAGTTTTCAGAACTACCAATGTCCCCTCCTATTCCCAAGGTAATTTTCAACTCTCCGGTGAATCTGTTGTAGATCCCTGGGTTGTGACCCCTGTATCAAGTGGCTTCTATGACTGTCCATGGTCTCTATGTGTGTTGTTCAAGATAAGATTGGGTACCACCTGCATCAAGATTACCTTCAGTATTCATTAAACTATAAAATCCCGGGTCTTACTAAGACTTGCAAAATCAGAGTTCTGCAGGTGAGGCCAGGAGACCCAAGTTTTGGGGTTTCTCATACACAGTGCAGTTGGTGTGACCATGGTGCTGTCGTATGGCTGGCTCAGGTAGATTCTAGATTCTAAGAGTTTAAGGTAAATTGTCTAAAGTCAGTTTGGTCACATCATACTAAAACCTGTTTGTCCCAACCTGCTTGAGACCAGTGACAAAGCTGGGAGTAGTGAGAAGCGAGGAGGCCTGAGTGACCTTCACCCAAGGTACTGACCTGAGAATGAACACCCTCCTGGAAAGGCACTTGGTCCTGCTCCTAGTTGAGGGTATTTGGGGACCAACACTGGCTGTATTAGTTACATTTCTTTTCCTATGACAAAAAGCAGCTTCAGGGAGGGAGGAGATTCATTTTGGCTTATCATTTGAGAGCAGTCCATCATGGTGGGTAAGGCATGACAGCAGGAGGACAAGGCCAAACACATTGCCTCTTCAGGCAGAAGACAGAGAGCAGAAGGAAGGTAGAGCCCAGCTATAAAAATCTCAAAGCCCAATCCCAGTGTCCTACTACTGTAAGTGAGGCTCCACCTTTCAAGGGCCGTACCTTTCAAAACCGCGCCACCAGTTGAGGACCAAGTGTTCAAGAACACGAGCCTATAATGCACATTTCACATTGACACCATAACAAGATGTGAAGGCAGAAAAAATAAAGGAAATGCCTAAACAAACTAATATATAATTACAAAATGGGAAACATGAAGGGAATAGGGAGAATACATGGAATGAGCCCCTGGCTGTTGATCCAGTAGACGTTATGAAGCATTAGAGTCATAATAGCAATTATTGGGTCTATTTCTTTTCCTTTATCTACATATGGGCTCTTAATTGAGAGAAGGCTCAAATAGAATAACTATTGACAACTATAAAGCACTACCCCAACCCAGGAGTATGTGAGATTGTCCCTAGGATCTCTCAAACATGTCACTGTTACTAATTAATTCAACCTCTTGACAGATCTGAGATATACAGTGTTCATGAGAGCCTAGAGATTCTAAATCACTTGAAACCATAAGGGTTTGAGGTGCTAAGACCTTTGGAGGTCTCTGCCTCCATGATTTCATTTCATAGATGATTGTGTTCATTCTGGAAAAATTCATTGACCTGCCCAAAGTCACCCAACAGACTTTATATCAATCTGATTCTAGAAGCTAAGTTGCTTTGGGTGATACTAATTCCATTCAGCCTGATGTGGCCTTCAGAAGATCTGTGTCAGTCATCAGTCCAACCTGTACTCTCTCACCACTGCCAGGGCCATCCAGGCTTCTTCTGGCTAAGCCCAGGAATCCTGTTTCTACTGAGACATACTCTAAACCCTGTTGACACAAAAGCTTTTGTAGGACTGGGGTTGAGCTAAACTGGAAGGTAGCATAGACTGCTCTAGAAGAAACCTTGTATCAAGGATTTGTACAAATCAAAAGGTTAGAGTCCAAACATTTATCTCAAGGGAAAAATCATGTCCTCGCAACCATCATAGATAAGGGTTATTTCTAAGATGGATCATTGGCATATCTATACAGCAAATTTTGCTCATAAGCTTAGGAGAGGAGGCACCTTGAATGTCCTCAGTGACAGAGGGTTTTTTTTTTATACCCCTGATGTACTCTTACATTGATCACTCTTAAATAATGGTGAAGACACCAAAGGTCATGATTTTAAGGTTAGTTTTAAACCTCAATAGAAAAATGTTCCTGAAAAACCAACCTATATGCCCTCCAAAGAAAGAATGGAAAGGTAGTAGGAAGAAAAAAAATGTCTGTGATGCCATACTTATAAAAGCCAATTAAGAGAAAGCAGATGGGATGGTCAGAGCAGCAGTTTTGCATTTTATACTCTAAAGTGTGTATCTATGTGACTGTCAAGGGGGTATCTATGGACACATCACTAGAAGAAATAGATACTTGAAGATACTGATGACAGCTAGTGCTCTCTGGCTGATGAAATTTAGATTAATTTTATCTATATACAAAATTTTATCTATATACAAACATATACATTTGTGAATTTTTACTATCCTGTCTTATGAGGAGGTCTTGTTTCTAAAACCTGGGCTGGTTAGTGAATTATTATTCTTGTAATGGGACATGTGCTGAACTCAGGTAGAAAGAAGCACCTTGGCTTGGTCATTGTGAAGCCTTTCTCCTGGGAGAAGCACAAATGGTTTCAGTGGCAGGCTGATAAAAATGATCTCACCAATGATGGCTATTTCTGAACTAAGACCCAGCCTGGTGTCTCTTCTGTTTCCCCAGTTTTTAGGAAGGTGGACTCTCTTTCAGAAGACATCTCCTTGGCCCAGTCAATCTATAATAAGAAGCTTGTGTCGATGCAAGAAAATCTTCAAGGACTGGGTAAGATTCTAGTGTCCACAAGCACACAGGCCCTCCATCCATGTTATCAAAAGATGGACAGGTGCTGCCTACTCTCTCAGACCAGCCACTGATCCCTGCTTCCCTCTCTGACTGAGCATCATCCATCCAAGGAGGGCCGGGATGCTGGGATGCAACAAGATCTGGGGCAGAGTTTCTATATGGGCCATTGATCTATCCACAAACCATAGGCAGACAAGGAAAGTGAGCATGGTCCATTCTCAAAGTGCCCTCATGCATCTCAAATGATTTCTAAGACCTTGCAAAGCCTCCTGCTATATGAGCCCCTTCTGAGTCGCCTGCCTTAAGCTACAGCACAGCTCACAATGGTCTCTCTTTTGTTCTCCAATCAGGAGGACTCTAAGAGAGAGTGAGTCAGCAGGAGCCATAGCAGATATGGGTTTAGAGATCATCTCTGGGGGCTGGAGAGATGGCTCAGTGGTTAAGAGCATTGACTGCTCTTCGAGAGGACCTGAATTCAATTCCCAGAACCCACATGGCAGCTCACAACTGTCTGTAATTCCAGTTCCAGGGGACCCAACACCCATGGCAAAACACCAATGCACATAAAATTGCAAAAATAAATAAATAAAATAAATTTTAAAAAGATCATCTCTGTTGCAAATAGAAAGTGCTGTCCTGATACCTAATAATAGAGTTCTGTTTGGCAAGCTGTTTTTCTGTCTTATTTCTCAGGCATCACAGAGGGAAAAAAATCTCACCAGGGCTACCTTCCCCACAAATACATTATGAGATATCAACCAAGACAATGGATATTAAAATACGTGTAGAAATGTTTAAATGAAGTGAACAATGGAGGTTCTTGGTCACTTCAGAACAGTCACTAAGATCTGTTCTTAAGAATGCAGTGATACTGTGGGGAAAATATCCAAAATCTTGCCCTTCAGACTGTAGAGTAAAGATGGGATTCAGCAGAAATTTCTGAGAGGGATTCTCATGGCAGGAAAGGAAGCAGGGTCTGGAAGCCAATTGCCAGTTCCTTGTGCCTGCATTTCAGGAAGTGCCTGTGTGGTTAGGGGGATAACTCAGCCATACAGACATCGTGACCTGAGCTTAATCCCAAGAATCCACATGGAAAAGGTGATAGTGCTTGGGTGACAGAAACAGGTGGATTCTTGGTCTTCACTTGCCTGCCAGCCTTGCCTGATTGACATGCTCCAGGCCAGCCAGAGGATCTGTCTCAAAAATCAAGATAGATGGCACCCAAGGAACAACACTTAAAGTTGTCCTTAGACCTCCACACGTGTGCATGTATGCCTGCATGCATGCATATAATCATGTACCACACACACACACACACACACACACACACACACACACACACACACACACGAAGCACCTTTGTCCCATTTAACTGAAAATGTTGTCCCCCTTTTCTCCTGAAGACCCAAAAGCCCTGAACAATTGCTCCTTTTGCCGTGAGGCTGGGCAGCTGGGGCAGGAGATCAGGAAGCTCCAAGAGGAGCTGGAGGGGCTTCAGAAGATGCTGCTGGCCCAGGAGGTCCAGCTGGACCAGACCTCCCAGGCCCATGAGCTGCTCTCCACCACAAGCAGTCAAATCTCCCAGGAGATGGGCAGTTGTTCCTTCTCCATCCACCAGGTAAATCAGTCCCTGGGACTCTTCCTGGCACAGGTGAGGGGCTGGCAGGCCACAACAGCCGGCATGGACACAACTCTGAAGGACCTTACCCAGGAGTGCTATGACGTCAGGGCTGCTGTACACCAGATCAATTTCACAGTGGGCCAGACGGCTGAGTGGATCCATGGGATCCAGCGGAAGACAGACGAGGAGACTCTGACCCTACAGAAGATGGTCACGGACTGGCAGAACTACACAAGGCTCTTTGGGGGTCTGCGCAGCACTTCTGCCAAGACTGGAGAAATGGTCAAGACCATTCAGGCCACCCTGGGGGCCTCCTCGCAACGCATTAGCCAGAATTCTGAGAGCATGCATGACCTGGTGTTGCAGGTCATGGGCCTGCAGCTACAGCTGGACAATATCTCCTCCTTTTTGGATGACCATGAGGAGAACATGCATGACCTCCAATACCACACCCGATATGCCCAGAACCGCACAGTGGAGAGGTTTGAGTCTCTGGAAGGACGCATGGCTTCACATGAGATCGAAATAGGCACCATCTTCACCAATATCAACGCCACTGACAATCACGTGCATAGCATGCTCAAGTACCTGGATGATGTGCGGCTGTCCTGCACCCTGGGCTTCCATACCCACGCTGAGGAACTCTACTACCTAAATAAGTCCGTCTCCCTCATGCTGGGCACCACAGATTTGCTCAGGGAGCGCTTCAGTCTGCTCAGTGCTCGCTTGGATTTCAATGTCCGAAACCTCTCCATGATCATGGAGGAGATGAAGGCTGTGGACACACAGCATGGAGAAATTCTTCGAAATGTCACCATTATCCGAGGTAAGAGTGGGATTGGGCAGGGTTCTCCAGAGACTCGGGGTTATTTCTATATACAGGAGCACATGATTTTAGGGAAATCTCCAATAATGTGTACATAGACAGAAGATGCTAAATAGAGGGTGCTGGATAGGGAAATAGATTGCAGAAATCATCCTATAACCAATTCCCAAGGCAGCAGGCAACTTTGAGAAATGGCTTTGAGGGGCTCAGTGGTTAAGCACACATACTGCTCTTACAGAGGCCCTGGTTCAGTTCCCAGTACTCATGGTAGGAATCTGACAAATACTTCTCACTCTAAGTTCAGGGGATCCGAAGCCTTCTTCTGGACTCCACAGGCACATGTACACACATGGTATACACACGCAAGTAGCACACATACACAAATGAAAAGAAATCATCTTTCAGTGTTAAGAATTCTATCTTTGAAAGCTAAACTTAGTGGCACACAGCTATAATCCCACCACTCAGGAGGCTGAGGCAGGAGAATTATCATGGATTCAAGGCTAGCTTGGACTGACTACACACTAAGTCTCAGAAACATATAGTGAAACCTCATCACAACAAAAGGAGCAAATTAAAGAAGGGAGGTTCATATAGGTCTCTGGGTGAAGGTGATATGATTTCTAGCTTTACCTTTCAAAGAAAATTTGATTAATCCATGTCCACATAGGCAAGTATGCAGACCTTGTCTTTTTGAAACCATCTATGCTTGCTTTCTCCCTGTCTGCCCCCCTCATTAATGTTTCTGTCTGCCCATCCAACTATGCGTCCCTCAGAGGCCCATCACTCAGCCGTCTTCTCCTATATCTTCCTAAGTTCCTTTATTCATCAGAATTCTCCATGAAAAAAACAGAACTAGTAGAATATAGGAAGATAGATGATAGCTAATTGATAGCTTGGCAGACAGACAGAGAGATCATAACATATGCTGGAGATCAACTGAGAAAAACACCTGATATTGCTCCCTGGCCAATGGCATGTACATAAATCCACACACACATGAACACACAAGCATGTACTGGTATGTGCACAAGCACACACACACACACACACACACACACACACACACACACACACACACACACACACCACGCATACACTCCTGATGCCCTATTTCAGATCTTCAAAGATGTGTCCACTATCCTCTCAGGGCAGGAGATGCTGAGAGCATGATGCTGAAGCAAATGGCTCAGACATTTCTACTTAGGTCCTTCTTCACTATAGGGCAAGGGATGGTGAATGGAGGGATGGAGAGACAATACCTGGAGGAATTCTTGGAGTCTGACATTTGCTGTTGCCTTGATCATAGCAGAGTTGTCATTACAAAACCACATCTTAAGCATGGTGAGACATCTGAGTACTTGGGACCCTCAATTCAACATCTTCATGTTTTACTGCCACTGAGCTCATTTTCTCATTGATACAGATTGATGGGGTGGGGAGAACATGTTTAATTGTTTTTTTTTATTTTATGTTTCCGATAAAGTCCGGTCCTGAGTATTTCCATGGGAACTGAAAGCTTCCCACATCGTTTCACTGAGAGGATGGATGCATGTGTGTGGCCCACATAAGGTGCAATTTTAAGTTGTGTCTGTTGGCCAACATTCCTCCTGATCTTTAAGTCATCACATGCACAACTTCTCTTATCTGGAAGAATCTTTCCAGGTAAATTGCACACCCCACCCTAGAGGGAACTAATCCCTCACCCTCAGACAGGCCCTGAGTCTCTGACACTGGAGCTGACAGTGAAGGGTTGTCTGGCCCGTGTAGAGCTAATAGTTAGAGCTCAGGTAAGGAGATGGCAGTGAAGGGGCTGCCAAGTACCTACTAAAGGAAAGGAGGCTGGGTAATAATTTGCTCTGGGACTTTAGGCAACTTACTTCATCTCTCCAACTGTGCTCTGTCATCTGTAAATGAAGGGGCAGGACCAGCCCCTTCCAGCTCTAATTCCAAGCCTCCATTTACTAAATAGAAATCTTGTGGTGCATGCACATTTGTTACAACTCTCCTAGAATCTTTATCTCTCTCTAGTCTCCAGGATAATTTTTATGTCTGTGCTAGACAATGTCTGTGCTAGACAGTGTCTCTGTTAGGACTATAGGACTATCCTTTTTGAGTTAGAGGCAAAAAAGAAGAAGAAGAAGAAAAAGAAGAAGAAGAAGAAGAAGAAGAAGAAGAAGAAGAAGAACCCCCACTGTTCATTAGCTGAGTGATGGGTGGAGGTCTTCATCACTTTCAACTCAGTCTCCTCACCCACCGTGTCCTACATTAGTTTCTGTTGCTTTGACAAAAAGCAACTTAAGGGAGAAAAGGTTTATTTGACTTTCAATTCCAGATTACAGCCTTTCACTGAGGGGCAGTCAGGTAGGAACTCAAGCAGCTAGTCACATCCCATTAACAGTCAAGAGCAGAGAGAAATGAATCCATTCAGGCCTATTAGCTTAATTGCTTGTCCACTCTCAGCTGGGTTTCTCCTTCCTTACACTGTTCTGCCTAGTCAAGGACCCCCTTGCCTAGGTAATGGTGCTGCCCACAAGGGACTGTGTCTTCCTATGTCAATCAGCAACCAAAAATACAACCCCACCAGACATGTCCCAAGACCTGCCTGATCTTGATAATTCCTTATTAAAACTCTCTTCGCAGGAAATTCTAGGTTGTGTCAAGTTGACAGTTAAAACTAACCAACCCAAACTAATACCTGTCCTGCCAGTACCACATGGGGTCAATGTGACAACAATCATATGAGCCTAAAAAGGGTGTGTTAATATGAGATGATATCAATATGTTGATGGCATAAGCTCCTTTTTCTACTCGCAACTGTCTAGCGGTCCTTGGGCCCTAAAGGCACTCTGTAAGTGTTTGTTTAATGAATCAATAACTGAAAGTATGAATGGAGGGTAGATGCCAAGTGTACAAGGACTTAAACTTGAAACTTGTTCCGTAAGCACTACCTGCTACACCCTGCTGTAACCAACAAGGATTCGGGAGTTGACAGGGTAAGAAGGGAACACCAAAGCTGACAAGATAGCCTTGTCAGGTTAAGGTGCCTGCTGCCAAATGTGGTAACTTGAGTTCAATAGCTAGGGCCTGAGAGGTGGAAGGAGAAACTGACTCTAGCAAGTTGTCCTCTGACCTCCAAGCATGTGCTCACACACATGTATGCAAATATTATACATACACAATAAATACAAAAAATTGGTTTTTCAAGACATGATTCTTCTATATAACAGCTCTGGTTATCCTGGAACTTGCTTTGTAGACCAGACTAGCCTTGGACTCACAGAGATCCACCTGCCTCTGTCTCTGGAGTTCTGGGATTTAAAGGCGTGTGCCACCACCACCCGGCAAATAATTTTATCTTAAAGAAGGGAAAAAGAGTTGTTTAGGCACAGGAGCTGTGCATGCAGGCGAAGAAGGGTTAGTAGCTGGGCCCAGCCTTGTAAAGCTGTTGAGAATTTTCTTTGGTGTCCTAGCTGCACTCTTCCTTTTGGGTTTTCAGTCTCTCTACACAGAATGACCACTTCCCCACAGCACATTGAGAGGAGAAGCAGCAGAGGGTGGCAGGCTGGCACCAAGGAGAGCCTTCTCCCCGGATCTCAGTGGTTGCTGTCACTCCAGAACTCCCTGGAAGATGCTCTGCGTTATCTCCAACAGTTCTCCTACTCTTAGTTAGTGGTGTAGGATGCTACACACCAGCCCACCCTCAACAAACATATAATTTCATCAGCATTTTCTAGGTGCTCTTTTGCTGATTATAACTAGGACTGGGAATCCCTGGATGATGTCAATGGAGTCACAGAACAGAGAGAGGTGGAGATACAGAGAAAGACAGATAGACAGACAGACAGACAGATAGACAGACAGACACACACACACACACACACACACACACACACACACACACACACACACACACGAGAGAGAGAGAGAAAGACAGAGACAGAGACAGAGAGAGACAGAGAGAGATCAAGCCCAGCCACCTAACATGCTAATGCTAGTGCTGGCATTCCAACCTAGGTCTCAGGGTTCAGGGTCAGGGCATCTTCCATTGGGCTAGACACTCAAGGAACCATCTCTTCCATTTCCAGTTCCTTATGTCTGACTACAAGAGGCACTGTGAGCCCCTCCTACCAATGGCTCACTATACCATGGATGGGCAGGGTTATTTCTTGAGATGCTAAATTCTTCCAGCCACTCCTATTTCTTTCATCTTCCCTAATCCCTAGTATGGACCACAGATACACCACCCACTCTACTTACTTCAGACATGCAATCAGTTGTGGCTGGTTCTTAATGGGCCCAAGAGCCTAATTACAGCCTGTAGCTTCCTGAATAATGATGGGCCTCCCTGGGACTCCTTACCTCAGCCACCATACTGGTGTTTGCTTCTTGGCTGCTCAGAGCAGTTCTGAGCCCTCTTCATTTTTGCCCTGTACTCAGCCCATACCAGTGTCTTATTACTACTGACGGGTCACTGGAACTCTATTCTGGTGAGAGCCTTGGTTTCAGCCTGATTCATCTTCCTTCCCATTGTGCTAACTGCTGGTTGTTGACTTTGTCCTGGGATGGATGGGGCTCCCCCACCTCACAATCTCATAATTCTTATGATTCATCTGAACATCTAAGAAAGGAGTCTTTCCAAGATCCCACTCATGTTTTTCATTTTGTTTTGCTTTTTTTTTTTTAATGTAAGTTCTAAGGATAGAATCCAGGACCTTGCACACGCTAGGCAAGTGCTCTTTCTTGAGACAAGCTCTTATTATCTTGCTATCTAGACTCTGTGTAACCCAGGACGGGAGCCCAGAACTCCCAATCCTCCTGCCTTTGCTTCTAAAGTGCTCAGATTATAGCTGCACATCACCATCCCTGGCTCTCCCAACTCTTTATGGACCCCTCAGTGCTCTTCAGAGGAGTCTAGCCCCCCCCCTTCAGACAACTCCAGACTGGATGAAACAGACCCAGGAATCCCTTTTGGGAGATGCTGAGGGGCAGAAGTGGTAGCTGTGGGAGGAAGCCTGGCAGAGAGGACCATTACTTACTCTCCTCCCGCTGCTGCCGCAGACTCATCTGGGTTCTCAGAGATGGAACAGCAGTGGTGGCCGAAGGAGTGTGCATAGAGAAAGAGGTGGACTTTCTTTTCTGGGGCCTCCTTGCACTCATGCTTGGGACAAAGGGATGAGTGGTATGACTGGGACTCAGGCTTCTGTCCAATTGTCTACCCAAGCATGATGGGCACACACTCCTCCCTCTAGGAGAGAAGGCTAGGATCTGCCATGGAAAGGCATAGAGGGAATGAGTGGTAGTGTGGCCGGGAGGGCACACTTTTATCTCTGCCCTTTCTCCTTTGCTGCTGACATGGAGACCCTACACACCCTCCCAATGGCTGCTGTGCTCCTCTGGGTCAAGGAGGAGAATCCCTTTCCAGGAGACAGTGGCACTGGAGAAAATGGGCCCCAAGAAGGTGAAGTATATCAGATGGCCTGGGGGCAGGGCGTAGTACCCTTGTTAGGATGAGATACTCAGACTGCACATGGGGTGCAGTCACTTCCACCCAAAAGACGAGTGGAGAACTAGGGGGCTTGGAGAAGTCTCTGGGGCACCTTGTTCCCATGACAGGTGGAGGACAAATCCAAAGGAACTGCCAAGAAGGAGCAAGGACAGAGGCATGACACAAGTGCCCACCTAGTCATGGGGTCAGGGGTCAGGACAAGGGCTGAAGAGCCACAGGGCACTTTAACTTTCAGTTGTGCAAAGTTATATTAAGAACTTCAGCTGTGTGTTACGTTAACTCAGCTGTATACACGGATGGTATTTAGTACTGCTCTCTGTTGAACTCTGAGTTCTGGAACGGGGAAGGATTGCCCAGCATTGCTCTGCCAGCCACACAGCCTCACAGGGCCTCTCCACTGCTGAATGGCCCTCTGCTTCTCCAAGTTTCAGCTGGTCCAGATGCCAGGAGCCGAATAAGGACAGGCACTGTGATTTTGCCAGTTCCCAGAAAGACCTGCCAGGCTGGGGGATGTGGACCCTGTGTGGGCATCAGCTTGGGCCTGTGCTATGCTGGTAACTGCAATGAGGGACTCTCTGGGAATCAAAGGGCAGGTCCTGTCTCCTGCTTTCTCCAATGCCAGGCTGCTACCATCTCTCAGCAGCTGTCTTCAACCTCCAACCACCTCTGCTGGCATGCCACGTGAGCTGAGGTGGAGCCTCGTCCCATGGCAAGCCGTGGCAGGAGCTGCATGAAAGTTTTTATTGGCTTTAATGGCTGACTGTCCAGGCTCTGGTTTCCAGTTTAGGTCATAATAGATATTCACTGACCTGGCTCTACATAGAAACACTTTGAGAAAGAGATGCAGGGAACAGCAGAGGGTGGGGAACAAGGGACTGTGGGTCACATCAGCCAGGATGAGAGTGATCCAGGACCACAGAATAAGATTCTGGAAACTTAGAGAGCTCTCAGCAATCAGCACACCTCATCCTTTCCGTCAAAGATCTCACTGAGTTCTAGTCTCCACTCAAGAAGCCCTTAGAATTGTGCGCGCGCACACACACACACACACACACACACACACACACACACACACACACACACACAGAGAGAGAGAGAGAGAGAGAGAGAGAGAGAGAGAGAGAGAATGTCCTTGTGGTCCATTTGTGTGTGCAGATGTGTGATGTGTGTGGACCTCAGGTTTTGTTCCTTAGGAGACATTTTCCTTGTTTTTTGAGACAGGATCTCTCATTAGCCTGGAGTTTGACAATTAAGTTAGACAGGCTAGCCTAGCAAACTCAAGGGATCCACCTAGCTCCAACCCCACTCCCACCCCACCCCCAGGACTAGGCACAGGCCACCATACCTAGCATGAGTTCTAGAGATTGAACTCAAATCCTCAAACCAGCAAGCATTTTACCAACGGGACCAGTCTCCAGCCTACCAATGGGATTTCACTCCACTCTCCAGGTTTTAGTTGAAGGAATTGGACTAGATCCCACCTAACTCACAACACTGCATTGCAAAGGGCTTGGGTGCCAGAGAGCTCTTATGGAGATGAGTCAGGCTCTGGTACCCACAGTTGCCATCAACCCTGCCTTTCACCCACACAGAGACCATGGAAGAAAACTAGGTCTGCATCGAGCCTTGCCTCCACAATAGCTGGAGCTCTTTTCTCCACATTTGTCCCATCTCAGGTCATGCTCTGTCACCTGTGGCCTTAAGGCATCCTGCATGCTCTGGCAGAGTGGGGGCCATGTATCCTAATAGCTGGTGTAGATCTGAGAAGTGGTGACTCTCAGACTTACACAGATAGGTGGGGGGGTGCGAGGCCACACAATTTCTGGTGTGTCATCCATGCTGAAAGTCATGTCTCTTCCCCATTATCAGGCCTATAATAGAGGTCCACAGATTGAGACATGGCCTCTTCTCACAAACTCCGAGCTCCCCTGACTGCATGCCAGGCTGGATGCCCAGTGCTAAGATGTAAGAAATGACTCTTGTTGTCTTTCTGAGACTGGTTTAACAGGGTCCATGAGATACACACCTAGTGCTGGTTTTCCCCGCATTGATTCCTCTGAATTGATTAAAGGCTCAGAAAGAAGCAGCCTCAGGGGCTCCTAGGAGAAGTTGGGGTGATGAGAGGACTTGCTGGAGAAGTAGCCCTTTCTTTGGGATGTTACTGTGAGTTAGGTCTTACTTTCTTCACTTTTTCCTCTGCATCCCCAATTCCACACCCCTGATCCCAGAGGTCCAAGAGGTCCCAGGAGGTAGGGCGGGGAGTGAAAACAGCAATCAAAATCCACAGGAGGTATAGAAGGTCAGGCTGCCCTTGGGCAGGATGGGAGTATCCTGGATTGCCACACCTACCCCCACAACCCAAACACATACGACCCTGCTCTCAGTCCTACTAGCTGTGTGTGAAGCTGCAGAGAGCCTGGATGTCAGAACTGGCAGTGTTAGCAGTACAGCAGGTCCAACGTAGGACACTGACACATGTCGCATAGCACCTACTGGTCTGACCACCACTCCAGCAACAGTAAAGCATCATCTAATAGTTAGTGGGAGCTGCCCTGGGCCAAGATTCTGTCTGAACTTCAGCTGTCCCTATGCTCACTCTGCTTACATAAATTCCTCATGAGTGACCTACCTGTTTCTTCTTCTATCCAACCCTAGGTGTCCCCGGGCCTCCAGGACCAAGAGGACTCAAAGGAGATGCAGGAATAAAAGGACCTCTTGGTAACAGAGGACCCAAGGGGGATTCCGGCAGTCTGGGTCCCCCCGGACGTCAGGGTCCTCAGGGGCCGCCTGGGGAGCCAGGACCTGTCGGGGAGAGAGGGCCAGCTGGACCCCGAGGCTTTTCAGGACTCAAAGGCTCAAAGGGCAGCTTTGGCACTGGAGGGCCAAGGGGGCAGCCAGGACCCAAAGGAGATGTGGGACCCCCAGGGCCAGAGGGGCCCCCAGGGTCTCCAGGACCCTCAGGGCCTCAGGGAAAGCCAGGGATTTCAGGAAAGACAGGGTCACCAGGTCAGCGGGGAGCCACAGGGCCTAAGGGTGAACCAGGCATCCAGGGTCCCCCTGGATTACCTGGGCCTCCAGGCCCTCCAGGGAACTCGAGCCCCTACTGAATGATGTCTTTGGCCTGATGCTGCAATGCAGGTTGGGGACCAGAAGGGCCTGCTATCTACAATCATTGTTCTTTGATCCTAATATGAGGGTGTCTCTTAGAACTGACTGTATAGCTTTAAACTCCCCAATTATGACTGTACCCAAGGAAAACAGCTCACTGCCTATCCCCATTTCTCTGCTGGCCAGGGAGAACCTACTGGATTTCCATGGCTGGTTAGGAGGAGAGGGAATAAGACCCCCCCCCCCCACCCACCCACACACACGCCTTTCTGTGACAGCCTGCTGGGGAGGTGGTTACCTACAGAAGAATATCTTAGATATCTTAGATGGTAACTAGTTCAAGTCTCTGCAGTGACTTAACACCCATACTAGCAGAAGCTTCTCCATAGTCTTGAAAACATCCAGGGAAACCTTTGGGGCATTATAGGTGACACTCCAGGAAGCCTCTCCAAACAGCCATGGGAACAGAGTCACAAAGAGTTGCCCTGCCCCACACAGGGCAGGAGAACTCTGCCTGGCTGGCATCCTCAGGCCCTGTGCATGGTGCCTCTGACAAGTTCAGAGGGTTTTTATTCACGCGTCCAGAACATTCCTTTCTTCACTCTCACCTCTGCATCTCAGGAGTGGCCTGGAAAGAACCCAAGCTGAGTTTCATCTGCTGGGAGAGACCCTGCAGGTCCCAGAACATTCTGCTTGTCCGCTATCCAGCTCCCTGGAAGACCTCAGGGAGGGAGGTGGGAGGACAAGGCAGGAGTGAAGTTTCTCTGCAAAGCCAGCCCTTGTTCAGCCTAGGCTGCCATGCCATGTTCCCAGTGGGGCTTCTCTGTGGTGGCCAGGGAGGAAGAACCTGTAGCAGGGCCCACCCTCGTAACAGGGCGGCTCTTGCCTCCTACTCTTGGTTATCCTATTCATAAATGAACATTGACCTCACCCTACCACAACTTAAGAAGACTGGAGCTCTTTCCCACATGAGCAGCAGGCTGGACTAGGCATGGGAAGAGCCTGAACACACACAAGGAGCCTTTGATGTTACTTCTTGTCTTTCATGAGCGTCTTCCATACACTGGCAGAAAGGGATGCTGGGAAAGGCCTGCATTGTCTTGACTCACTTTCTGTAAAGCTGCCCTGCTCCTTCAGACTCCAGCAGACTTAGATGCTCCTGGGCAAAGGGCAGAGCTGCCTCCTCCCTTGTACTGTCTCAGAGACCTGTCTTCTTCCTGCTCAAAGCCTCTGTACCACCATCCTCCTCAACATCAGTGTGCAACTGGCTTGCACCACCCACCTACCCCCTGCTGTATAATTGTCCTGTCTACTTATGATAATATCATGTGACACAGTATCACTGGCCCAGTAAAGAGCTGTTTCCAGGAGGGATGTGTCTTCTGGTATTTGTACCCAAGCTGAGGAAGTGATTCCTTCTGGGATCCATTTCATGTTAACCTTCACAGGGGAATCGCTGTCAAGGGTTCTGCTGCAGAGTCTGAGAACTGAGGACCTCTTGGAGCTCTAGGGGTTGGCAGTGAAGCCCAAGCAAGAGTCTAAGAAATTACCACCAAGAACAAGGCCAAGCTGGAAACAGTGCATCCCCAAAAGCTTTCAGCTAGACCCTATAGTTATTTGGCTACAGCGAGACTGAAAAATAGGAAATAGGACAGGCCCAGACCCCAGAGGGATACCTCGTGCATCCACTTGTTGTCTCTAAAACAAAGAAGCAGAAACGAAAAGGAGGAAAAGACAAGGCCAGACTTGCCCCAAGGTGCCTTGCAAGAATAGAGGTCAGCTGGGTTCCCGGGAAATCAGACTGGGCCTGCTCCACAAGGAGTTTTAAGGGAGAGCAAGTTCATTTGCTAAGTCAAACAGCACCCTGTGCAAAGCCTGGGTACTGGTTTGATATAGGGTATGTATGAGTCAGGGGTGCTCAGTGGGAGTAAAAGGGTGAAAGAGCTGAGATGAGGCCACAGTATATGAGCCTTGCCCATCTGTGTGGCATGAGATCCACCCTTCACACAGCACCTGCCATGTGTGGACCGCTGAGTTCATTGCTTAAGGGTCACAGGGTGAGTAAGGCCTAAAGCCTAATCTGGCCACTTTTCCTCAAGAGAGCAGACATGTCTATAGCCTTACATGAAACAAGACATGGAAAGGAAGAGGAAGTTGGGGGGGGGGCGAGTCTCAGTGATAAGACATGTTCAGAAGGCTAACACCAGGTAGTAGCACAAGGACAACAGGAAAGACAGGTCACTATGCTTGGACTATGAACCAGCCTCCAGAAATCTTGAACTACTGGTTGCCACCCTACTGGTAGGGAAAGAATTAGGTCAGGCCCTGGGATGAAGAAAAGCATGAGCGTATCAGCAGCGTCTTAGTTAGGCTTTCTATTGCTGTGAAGAGACACCATGATCACAGCAACTCTTATAAAGGAAACATTTAATTGGGGTCCAGTCCATCCTGGTGGGGAGCATGGCAGCATGCAGGCAGATGTGGTGCTGGAGCTGAGAGTCCTACATCTTTACTCAAAAGCATCAGGAAGCAAACTGACACACTGGGTGGTATCCTGATCATAGCAAACCTCAAAGTCCTCTTCCCCCCACCCTGACACACTTCCTCCAACAAGGCCATACCCACTCCAACAAAGCCACACCTCCTACTAGTGCCACTCCCTACAAGATTATGTGGTTCCGGGGGGCCAATTGCATTCAAACTACCACAAGCTGGTCTTGGAGTTAAATCCCAGCAAAGCTAGATCTGAGACAGACTCCAAAGAATGGGCTTGGAGAACAAAATGATAGCAAAGACATAGGGATAAGAAACAGTCAATTCAAAACCATTGAGAGCACAGCGGTGAAATCCAGTGGGCACTGGAGCAACAGGACAATGTTGCATGGCTTTCCCTGAGAAGCCCATTTCTGGTCCCCAGAGAGAGAGCAATCACAAAGCACAGAAACAGCTCCATCCAACTCTAGCTTAGAGAATCATTAAGTCTAATTGAATTACTTACAGACAGGCACATCCGCCACCAAAGAAACATGCTCTCTTTCCCACAACTGTTATCCACTTACATATCCTCCAGAAAGGACTGAGAACCTCGTGAACCTTGTGAGTCCTCCTGCCCTTCCATTCCATAAGAAAATCTTAGGTGGGCCCAATCTCATAAAAGTCCCTTGTGAGTAATCACAGCTGCTCAGACTACAAGGTGGCAACAGTCATGGTATGCCAGAGCCCAGAGGTCCACATCAGACAATGAAAGCAATCATAATGGCACAGTCAGGCAGAGGCCACATACCACCCCGGGCACTTCACAAATAGTAACTCAGTCTTTACTACCATTTATAATGTATAATGTGAATCTCTGCCTCACAGAGTTTTGGAGCAGTGCATTGACTTCTGTGGGCTACAGACATAACTAGTTTTTTAGACATATCTACGCTGAGACAGCCTTGCACAAGCTGTTTAACTGCTGTTTAGTTGCCTCCATGAGATTCCTGGAAAGTACTTTTGTATTGGTCTGCTCAGCTGCCACCAGAAAACACACCAGATTGCATGCTTCCAATAGAAATTTCTTCTCTCATGGTTCAAGAGGCCAGGAAGGTTAAAGTCGAGGTGCCAACTCTTCCGGGTTTGCAGAGGGCCACCTTTCTGCTGCTACATCCTCACATGGTAGACAAGGACTTATACTTTTCCATACACAGTCTGAATCCCAACCCTATGGCTTCGTTGATGCTTAATGACTTCCTGAAGAGCATGGCTCCGGTTAGTCACACTGAGGTGATGGCTGCATAAGTCAATCAATCCAGGTACCCAGATGTCTTCCTTAGACATCAGCCACCATCCGATGGTGACCTTTACACAGAATCTAAGCTTCTTTAGCATCCCTGACACTCTACACTCTTCTGCAAATGAACAGCCAGAGCAGGAGGCCAGCACACTCCTTGCACTTCAAGAGCTGGGCCCAGCCCTTCTGCCCTTTCTTTCTCTCAACCCTCACCCCCTGTGCCACGTCATCACATAGTCCTTTAGAATATCTCAACGTCTTTTCAAATGTGTTGAAACTCCAAAGAAGTTACTGGGGTTTAGGAACGAATGGGCAATTGGAACCATAAAGCCTGAAACAAATGGTATGACTCAACATGGGATCTTGTGAAATGGATGCCACTTGTCTGAGACTGGGGATTGGGTGGGCTACCTGACAGGGTCCATCAGTAGACATGGAGCTGGGACAGGCCATGCTCCAACCATGCTGGTCTCTCCTTCCTTGTGGGACTATAGGCCCAGCACAGACCTCTTGGACTGTCAAATTCTTCCTCTGAAAACAGAGTGGGCAGTCTTGACGGCCCTGGTCCTGGAGATTCACATTTATCTGCCTTAACCAAGCTGTCTTTCTCCTGTTCCATTCAATTGCTTCACTGTATCTCACTAGAGCCAGGATAATTAAGTCTGACTCTTCATGGAGAGATGACAGCCAGTGAGATTGCAGCTACTACATGCAAAGCACAGGTTTTGCTGTTGATGTGACTTTAATTCCAAAATTTACAAAACCCTGAGATTATTCCCGGGCTTCCTAGAAGCCACAGACCTGAGCCACAGTCTCTCAGGACCTCTGAGAAATCCCGGCTTGCTTTCTCATATCATCCTGGCAACCTCTCCCTTCTTCCTGCAGAAGAGGACAGGGCTGGGCAAACCTGCCCTTCCCCCAGCTCTCCTCCCCAGGCCAGGGCTGAGCTGGCAACCTCTGCTGCACCAACCCTGGATACACCTGTCAAAACAGAACCACTGGAGAGTCGAGCAAGAGCTGAAAAACATGATCTGACCACACCGAACTTTCCACCAGGGCTGGGCTGCCAAGGGCTGGCTTTTCCCGAAAGCCTTACCCTACGGGTGACTGAACAGCCTTCTTGAGGGCTGCTTGACTGTGGAAGGATAGGCCATTTGGTTTTCTGACCTTTGCCTGTCCACTACTTTTGTTTTCTTTTAAACTTCCAAGTGCAAGAGCCGTGCTTACGGGTCAGGGGACATTTAGAGCCTTACTCAATGCCTCCTAATGGGAACCACCTACCATGGTACAACCACCTAGAGAAAAATGCACGCCATGTGCTTGCATCCTAAACCCACTGGTGCAGAACCGTGGAGACGGATGAGAATTTGGGAGTAGGAGGTAATGTGCATTACAGACCAAGACCCAGGGAATTATGATGCCTCATAAATTTGAGATCCACAGGTGTAGGAGAGGAAGAAAGGAACACACTGTTTTTCAGTTTCTGTTTATTATCTTGTTTCATTTTCATGAGCACAGTACACTGGCATGTTATAGGTCAGAAAACAGAAGCTCAGAAATGATGAGTAACATATATAACCTAAAGTTGTTGAATGGGGGCTGGTTAAGAGCTTATACTGTTCTTGTAGAAGGCATCCGGTTGACAGTACCAGTGTTAGGGGCTGACAACTGCCGGTAGCTCCAGTTCCAGGTGATCGGACACCCCCATCTGACCTCCATGGGCACCTGCCCTTATGTGCACATATTCCCACATAGAGATAATAACTCTTAAATAAGTAAAAAAATATACTAAATGTTTTTTTTAAAGATGTGCAGTCAGATGTCTGGAGGTTTTACTGATATTTCCTGAGCTTGTCTCTTTAAGAATGGTAGGGCTGGGGAGTCAGTGAGCTTTGTATTTCAGAGAAGGATTATTAAATCCACAGAAAGGGGATTCCTCTAGATCTCAAAGCAAGCTACTTACAAGGCCCCAAATAAAGTACTGCCAGCCCTCCCAGTTTCAATTGCTTTGTGCAAAATACCAGAGCAAGGGGCTTGCAGGAGCTAAACAAAGGAGGGTGCATCCTACCATGAGATTCCGAGGACTTCTCAAAGGGGGTAATGTGCCCACCTCCATGGGAGCTATCACCCAACTTCACCAAAATGCAGACTCAACTCCATCACTGAGAAAATTGTATTAAACACTGCAACTTATTCATATGGCTTTTCCGCAATTCTATGCCATCCCTTTAAAAGATCAGGTCATTTGAATAGCACAAACTGAAGCCACCTCTATTGCCTCTGATAGGAAATGGTGGAAGAGTCTTCATGGGATGGTTTTCACACACTTGTAACCTATGGCTCCTTCTCCAGAAGAAATTCCAGATCTTCTCCATCCCCCAGACAAGCCTGCCCCACCCTCAGGTTGCCTGGAACTTACTTGCTCCCCATCATCCATCACCACCCTTACTCAAAGAGCTCTCTTCTTCTAGAAATAGAAATGTTTCAACATCTAATGGGGAGGGTGAGGACTCCACTGAATGTGTTCACACATCCATCAAATGGTCAGCTGCCAGCAGCTGCTACATCAGCAGTAGGCATGCAAGAGGAAAGCACCTG